TCATGGCAGACTTGGCCTTCATGTCTTGTTATTTGCTCTGAGGACTTGCGCAGTGCTTATCAAAGTGCCCCGCCTGCTGATTATCTCTTCAAAAGAGCAAAGACCAAAGCCGTGAACACAGAGACTGTTGGATCAGGCCTTTCCACAGGGGTGAGGATGGCAGCGTGCTCCATTAAGAGAAAAACTAAGTTTCAAAGTGGCATACACAGCTTTGGTTACACAATACTAATTATGCCAAGCATTACCTATCCATTACTCCAAGAGCCCTGTATTCCTAACTGGTGCTGGGGAAAATAAAATTTGTTTTTAATGCAATTATTTTGTCACAGGCCTTAAAGCTACAGTCGGTAACTTCTATAAAAACAACTTTTTGTCATGTTTACTAAAACTTTATCCAGACAGTAATATATGAGACAAGTAATCTATGATTTTTTTTTTTATCTACGGCTGGTGAGGGGTGATAGGTGATAGATTACGAGCAGTGATTGACATGATTGACAGCTGCAATAGAGACTTCAAAGCTCTGATTGGTTGTTTGGTTCATCCTGTGGTGATTCTTGCAAATGCCATTAGAAGCACTATGAGGAGTAGACTATTTGTCTTATGTGCTACTGTGTGAATAAAGTGACAATTTATGCGATACTGATGTTTAAAAAAACAATTTGGCCAGTAGCTGTTACCAACGTTTTTATATTGTTGTTTATATTGATTCTGATGTTATTTACTCCGCCTTTTGTGCAAAGGAAACACAGAAATCTACACTTTGAAAAATAACTGAAAGTAATAAAACCCCTCATTACACTACCTTTGTATTCGATTTTAAGGTTCTTTTATTAGTTTTTAAATGTCTTAACAGTCTTGGGCCTTCTTATTTATCTGACCTGCTTTTACCATATCAACCCTCGCAGACCCTTAGGTCCTCCGGCACCGGCCTTTTAACCATACCACAAGTTAGGACTAAAACACACGGGGAGGCGGCATTTAATTATTATGGCCCCCGATTGTGGAACAGCCTGCCGGTGAACCTCAGAGCTGCAGAGACTGTTGAGATTGTTGTGTTTACTGAATACACCTTGGAGGCATCATCCCAGTGCCACCCCCGTGAGCTGTTAGCTGCAGCCACCAGCTGCCTAGAGCTAACATGGTGAGCTCTCCTGTTACCGATTTTAACATGGTTTTGTTGTTCACATTGAATGTAGCACAATCAAAGACACAATAGTGTCCTCTGACGCGACAATAGTGAGTTTATGCAGTGCTCACGTCCCGGGGTGTTACGGGAAAGATCTCTGTTAGTCTCAAACACATTTAACCCAGAGGATCAGACGCCAGCTGCTACTCGCCCTCTCATCACACAACAGTAAAATCACAGAGCCTGAATGCAAAACAGTCATTGTATTCTTCTTGTGGCCTATGTGTTCATTAATTTCAAGTTTGTGGCAGTTAGTCTGGAGCCCTGGATTTTAGCCTGTGCAAAATTGATGTGACACAACAGAAAGACATCAGCTACTGCCATGAGATGTGTACATAACACGCCCCTACAAACCGCACCCACCACTGCTACAAGAAAAACTGTACAACACTCTGAGGCTATCTGATGTTACACTGTAGTAAATAAATGAGACCAAATGTGCCAATAATTCACTTTACAATTCATGATACATGAAGACATAATTAACTTTTTTAAACGGGCACTGTGAAGGAATTTCTCCCATCTAGTGTTGAGATCGTATATTGCATTCAAACGGATAGCTCACTCCAGCGCCTCACTGTTTCAAACGCGTATTACAACAACGGTAGCTGCTGTGTACCAAAAAGCTATGATAACATTGATGAAACCATGTCATCCGATACTACATGGAGTATTCATTCAGGCTCCTACACAGATACACGTGACGCGAGTTGACAAACCCCCTCCTCACCATGCTGGCTGTGTTTACAAAGTAGGACTGTTGGGGCGGGTGTAAATAGAAACAAACCAATCAAGTCTTGTCTTTTGACAACTGACAAGTGGCTCAACATCACACACCTCATCCCTCTCCTCACAACACTGCGTCGCGACCAGCACCTCTAACAGCACTATCAGCGCTAATAGCAGCGCCTGCAGGCGGAAACCGGAAACCGACAAGTGAAAATGCGAAAGGCGATTCCGTAATTCTCAATTATGTCCCTGTACATACCTGTATTTTCAAGATGGCGCACGTACATGATGAGGCACCGGTCGCAATGTAAATGTAAATGAGAATTTCGGAGCTTACGGACATACTTAGATACGCTGATGGAGGTAAATACACATGTGCTAGGACACACTTTTGACTGCAAAATTTGTTTGTCTCAAAGAACAACTGAAATTGTTACACATAGTGCCTTTAAGTAGCGAGATGTAAACCTTCCCCATTACCCTTAACTGCCTGTCTTTCAACACAATAATTAATAGCGAAGTTAGCTAATTGCTATATCACTACAGCTTTTTGCACTTTTTGATTGACATAGAGAAAACAAAATTGTTTTATTTTTATTGTGCTTGATGGCATGTGGTTGATCAAACTAGAAAACAAGACTGACAGTTTCGGCAGGCGGGTTACAAGTGCAAAAATTGTCCAGCAAAAAAAAAAGTGGCAAATATGTCCAAATATAGAATTATAGGAACTTCAAAATGTACAGTAAATGATCTATCTGTTAAACTAATCTGCAGGCCCTACACATGTTTTACTGTGCAGAAGGAAATGGTCAGTTTGTATTAACTCCAACAAACTTGCTACAGTTTTAAATTTGTGAAGCCTGTCATGTAAAATGGGCATTTTGGGGCCTTTTTGGTAGGTTATATGGGATTGAAATATATACAGTAGTAATGTTCAGCTCTACCCATATAAACCACCATACTTAAAGAGGCAGAGCCTTCCATTTCGTTTTTCAGGTCTGGGCTTCTGTGGCAGCAGACTCAGTTTGGTATCAGAAGGATGTCCTTCTCTATAGCCACGTCCTCCAGCTCTTCCTGGGGGATCGCAGGCTAGACAGGATATGTAATCGCTCCAGCTTGTTCTGGGTCTGCCTCGGGGTTTCCTCCCAGTTGGTCGTGTAAGGAATATCATCACAGGGAGTCCAGGAGGCATCCTGATCAGATGCTAAAAGAACTCCTTCCAGATGTCTGCACTCTCCCCCTGCCTTTAAATTAATTGTTTGATGTGTTGGGAAATACGCTCATTCACCTTTTTGCTGAGAAGTCATGTGCCAGACTATGTCTTGGCAGGCTGCAGCGACTTCCCGCTGGTTGCCTGGCAACCTCACAGTGAGGGCAAGACTTCAGGCGATCGCAATTGTACGAACTAAAGAAATAAAATATAACCTATTAATTAGTGAGATTCAGAGGTGCTGGTAGGTGGAATGTTTACTGTTGGACAGAGCCAGATTAGCTGTTCTTCCTATTTCTAGTTTTTGTGCTAAGCTAAGTTTACCATCTGCTGGCTGTGGCATTGCATTAAGTGTACAGAAATATGAGGTATATTAATCTTCTTATCAAACTGTTAGCAAAAAGGTGAATAAGAGTACATTCCCAAATGTCACACTATTGCTTTAAGGGTGAGTCCAGACACCCTGTAGAGAAAACTCCTTTTGGCTGCTTGTATTTGTGATCTCATTATTTCGGTCATTACCCGAAGCTCATGACACTAGGTGCAGGTTGGAAAGGTAAAAGTTGGAAAGTAGGTCAGCTGGTATCAAGAACTTCAGGATCAGCTCTCTCATCGCAACACCAGTCCAGTGTAGTGTCCGCATGATGTGGCACAAACCCATCTGCTGATCATGTGCTCCATCTTACCTTCACCTAAGAACAAGACCCTGCTATACTTCTCCATTACAACTCCATCACTCAGGGAAGATTTAAATTCTTGTTCTAAATTCTTGTTTTAGACCAGGCTGATAAGGAGCAGTTGAACAAATGTGTCATTCTTTGGTTGATGTAAGTTAATATTCTGCTGCTGTGAAAAGTAGCGCCCCCAGAAGTTTTACCTAGGGGTGTCCACTGTGGATGGGGTCACTGAAAATCTTGAGGTTTCACACCAAGACCAAAAGCAATAACTGAATTTCAGGGATTCGTCCATCCATCCATCCATTTTCATCCGCTTATCTGGGGCTGGGTCGCAGGGGTAGCAGGCGAAGCAAAGCATCCCAGACATCCCTCACTCCAGAAATGCTTTCCAGGGTTCCTGGGGGACCCCAAGGCGTTCCCAGGCCAGATGAGATATATTATCTCTCCAGCATGTTTTGGGTCTGCCCTGGGGCCTCGTACTAGTGGGACATGCCTGGAACAACTGGGAGGCACCCAGGAGGATAATGATCAGATACCCAAACCACCTCAACTGACCCCTTTGGACGTGAAGGGGTAGCGGCTCTACTCAGAGCTCCCTCCAGATGTCCGAGCTCCTTACCCTATCTCTGAGGCTGAGCCCAGCCACCCCACTGAGGGAACTCATTTCGGCTGCTTGTATCTGCCATCTCATTCTTTCGTGCACTACCCAGAGTCCATAGGTGAGGGTTGGGACGTAGATGGACTACGTATGTAGTTCTTCAAATAGGCCGGTTGTCCTTTTCCTTGAAATACTTTGAATAGTTTAGTTTAAAGGTATACATCGATGTAAGGATGACTGCCACAATGTAAGGAAAACAAAACTTTCACCAGGAACAAGCCTTCCAAAGTGTAAGAGAGATTCATCGGTACCCATGGAACCCATTATCATTCAGATATATATTTAGAGGTGAGAGTTCAAGGGACCCCTTTGAAAATGGCAATGCCAGTTCCCTCACCGAAATATAGCCTACCATTTGGATATTAGCATTATTTAGCCCTTGCCTGACAAGCTATGCATAAGAAATGAGAATGCCACAGCCATTTAAAGGCAGTAATATCTGCCTCAATTTCTTTCCCCCAGGGGGCTGAAGAATTCACTATTTAATTTGAATACCTTATACAAAGACTGTAATGATAAAATTCCCTCTCTTTACAGGTGATCCTGATTCTAACCAAGCTGTACGACTTTCATATTGGCAGCGTCACTGAGAGCACACTTTGGAGGTGAGTACAAAGGAGATTTTTATTCATGAAATATTTACAAGTAGGTGTCTTTGATTCCTGTAATGCTGCTCATGTGTCAAATTGTAGAATTAGCCTTGATCCGCAATGATCCTGTGATTAGCTTGATGTTTCAGCTAATTGACCAGTCAGTTTGATATATTTTCCAGTGACTGACAACTAACAGCATCAGACTTGGCTTACTGTGGTAAACTCTTAAAAACAAATGCCAGGGCTTCCTCATCTCTGTTTTGCCCACACATTGTCTTGTGCAACTTTGAAGCATCATTGTCTTTTCCCACCTGTCTACAATCACTATGTGTCTCTTTCTCACCCGCCCCACTGGTGCTGTGAACACTGTGTTCTGGTGTCATGCATGGTCAGACAGGGCACTCAGTGTGGAGGATGCTGTTTGCCATGCTCTTGTTCTGGCGTATTATCTGATGTACTCCCCTTCCTCGCCCCTCCCGGGAATAAAATAAACATAGACACACACACACACACACACGCACTCACTCACACTGCTTCAACAACAAGGATGCTTATAAAGAGTAAAAATACACTAGAAAAGGGATGGGTAAAACATTTCTCTGATTGGCTGCGTGTAAACCATTTACAAAGTGTGGATTGTGTAACATGAATACAGTCATTTCTTTGTCTGAGTTTTAGGATGGTGCCACACACATGACACACATGAGGACCTGTGTGAATTTTCCACAGCAGATATTATTTATTTTTTGTCTATTCAAGAAATTACTCACAAATGCTATACGAATTATTATTTTATTTATCTGTTTTTATTTATGTATGCCTTTTAGAGTGATAATCAGAAGGTGTCTTTTTTACTAGCCTTTCCGAATCCAACATTACAGAAGCAAAAGTGTAAGGAATTGATTGTGGTGTGTTTATCTTTTTTAATATAAGCTTGTTAGAATGTCTGCCAGACTAGCAGTAACTAACAGTTACTACTGTCTAAACAACATTATATTTGATTGGTCCCACTTTCCCACTGGACAAAAACCCAATAACTCAATAAAATCTGGTTTTCATATTTGACAAATGATTCTGCAGTAGTCAAGGGTATTTGTCGGCTCTAGCTCCAGTTGGCAGCGATGGAAATAGTGGGTGGAAGCGCTTATTTTATCCACTTTCCCAGCGCAATGTGATGGCATACCGCTACAAAATGAAAAAAAAAAAAGAAAAGAATCCAGCACTCACAAATGTCCTTTTGGTAAATTTAATAAACCAACTTGGGTGGCGTTACCAGAAACACAGACGTTTCGACAGAAAGTTTTCATCAGTGTGTAACTCAGGTTACGGAAGTGGCGTTTAAGTATGCTCGAAGCAATCAGAGCAGGTGTGTGGAAAGACAATTTACACTTCCGCCATACAATATAGTGCCAACTCACAGGCAAAGAAAAACACAATAACAATACAGCAATCTTAAACACGTGTGTCACAGCAAAATAGCAGTAGATACACCGAAAAGCGATATACATATGCATAATAAATTCTGCTCGTACAAAAAGGCACTGTGAACAACAGTAAAACGTGTGCTTGAGGGGGCAAATAAAGTACCCAACTGTCAAATAACCATCAATTAAAATCAACAAATTGTCCCTCAATTAACAATCAGATCACAAGTGCACGGTAAGAGGAATGAAGTACAAAAAGGTCACTGAGTCGCTGTCCCTCAATCAACAATCAGATGACAAATGCACAGTAAGAAAAATAAAGTGCAAAGAAGTCACTGAGTCGCTGTCCCTCAATTAACAATCACAAATACACAGTAAGAAAAATAAAGTGCAAAAAGGTCACTGAGTCGCTGTCCCTCAATTAACAATCACAATTGCACAGTAAGAAAAATAAAGTGCAAAAAGGTCATTGAGTACCTGTCCCTCAATTAGAAAACAGATCACAAGTGCACAGTACAAAGGATAAAGTACTGAGTAGCTGTCCCTCAATTAACAATTAGGACATAAATGCATAGTAAAGTAAACAACCTGCACCAAAACACTCTGAGTAGCTGTCCCTTGCTAAGAGACAGATGTCAAAATACATTAAAAATAGACAAAGTGTACAAATACATTCGGTCACTGTCCCTTACTTAATCAAATGATGAGTGCACAGTAAAATGCATAGATTACTGGAGATCTGCATCTTTATCCCATAAATAATGTTTGGGAAAGAAGTAAACAAAGAGAACTTCATTAGAAATAGTTGCCCCTCAGTTAACATTTAGATCATAAGAGTGCAGTGAAAACAAAAAATGCAGATAGTCACTGAGAGGTTCCACTAACAGGTCATCTACGTATGCACCGTCAGCAACAGAAAATTCAACGGGTACAAAGCCCAGTGTATAGTGCCGACACCGTGTCATGGGTGATACCATAAGTCAGTCTATAGTAGTCACAGAAAACAACTTAACAGCAACTCTTCATTCATACCTTTAGGAAATTCTGTCTGTAACCTATGGATCCAAAAAGCCTCTCTCTGTAGAAGAGCTTTCTCTCTATCTCCCCCTCTTTTAAGTGGTTTGACTTCTTCTATTCCTTGAAATCTTAAAGAGCAAACCTCGTGACCTGCTGCAGTGAAGTGTCTTGCTACAGAAGATTTTTCGTCTTTGGTTCTCATGTTGCTTTTGTGTTCAGAGATACGAGTCTTAAGCTCTCTTTTAGTCTTACCAACGTAGCATAAGCCGCAAGGGCATTTCAACAGATACACAACAAACTTAGATTTGCATGAAATTCTACCTTTAACTTTAAACTTGAGTGGGGATGTGTGAACGTATTACCCTTAATCATGGCGTTACACTGAATGCAACTGTGGCAAGGAAAATTGCCAACAGGTAAAAGAGAAAAAAAATGTTGGGGCTGAATAAAACAATCAACTCTAACTAACAGATCTCTCAAATTAGCAGCACGCTTCTGAGCGAAAATAGGAGTGTTCTTAAAAATATGGCCTACATTCGGATCGCTAGCCAGAATGTGCCAGTGTCTCTTAATACAGTTTTTAACATCATAGGACAAATCAGAAAAAGTAAGCGTACAGACCAGGTTAGAGGTCTTAGAGGAGGATGGTTTAAGTGTTAATAAAGTTTTCCTATCAATTTTTCTCACTCTCTGGAGACAGTTGTCAAGAATGTTCTTATCATAACCTTTAGCACTAAAGCGGGCACATAAATCAACTGCCTGCTCTTCAAAGGCAGATTCAGTACTACAAATTCTCCTGACTCTAAGTAACTGGCTATAAGGTAAGCCTTTCTTGAGGCCTGGAGGATGGTAACTGGAAAAGTCAAGAAAGCTGTTAGTGTCCATTTTTTTTCTATGAACTTTGGTCTCCAGGCGTCCTCCTAATGCTCCTAATTTTGGCAATCTCAGCTCAAGTCTTAGATAGTTCACTGTCAGCATGCTGAATAACAAGTAGCATCAGGTCAAGCGAGCACTTGTTAAGAACCTCGCACCACTGTAGGCAAAACTCGCTGTTATCTCTGCCCAAAGCCGGTTCTTTGTTGATGCGGAGTCCTCTTGGTATTCTTTTATTCCGCCAGTAGTGCGACAGTGTGGAGCCGTGAAGGCTAGTCCGTACCTCTTTTTTCAGGAGATATTCGAGCCGCAGAGACAAAGAAGGAGCAGGGTCCGCAGCAGCGTAGGATGAGGAAAGCACATCTTCTTGCGGGAACAAGCTCAAAATACTGTCAGAGTCGGAGTCTGAAAAAGCGAGTGTAGTGGCCCTCGCTTCTGTGAGTTGGTCAATTTCCTGGTATTCTGCCATGTTGTCCAAGTGGCGAGGTGCCTCGCTCACAAAAGTGCAAAATCACGTAGGATTGATTGTTAATTGAGGGACAATTTGTTGATTTTAATTGATGGTTATTTGACAGTTGGGTACTTTATTTGCCCCCTCAAGCACACATGTTTTACTGTTGTTCACAGTGCCTTTTTGTACGAGCAGAATTTATTATGCATATGTATATCGCTTTTCGGTGTATCTACTGCTATTTTGCTGTGACACACGTGTTTAAGATTGTTGTATTGTTATTGTTGTTTTTCTTTGCCTGTGAGTTGGCACTATATTGTATGGCGGAAGTGTAAATTGTCTTTCCACACACCTGCTCTGATTGCTTCGAGCGTACTTAAACGCCACTTCCGTAACCTGAGTTACACACTGAAGAAGACTTTCTGTCGAAACGTCTGTGTTTCTGGTAACGCCACCCAAGTTGGTTTATTAAATTTACCAAAAGGACATTTGTGAGTGCTGGCTTCTTTTCTTTTTTCTGCTGCTTTTGGCCGTGCACCTGTTGAGTGGATTTATTTTGAGAGTGCTTGCTTCTTTCCTACGTGATACCGCTACAAAATACCATCTGTCTCCATCCAAGCAGCACTCGAACATTGATCAAAATTTAGTCAGCATGGAGTTTGAGAGAGAGAGTGAACAGGTAAGAGTTAAGAAGTAACCACTGTACCATTTTCACTGGCCTCCATGCTGCTTTCAACTGTTTACTAACTTGTGTACTGGCCTGGTAATGATGCCAAACATGACACTGCAGGGAAAAAATATAGATAAACAAAACTGTCTACTGACAAGGAGAAGGCAGTCTATCCTTACTGATTACAAGGGTTAAAAGTAACCATCAGTAAAATAACATGTAAGAGAGAAAGCTGAGGTTGAGAGACTGAGGCAGATGCACTGCATTTATTTTTTGGGAGAAAAATAGAGTGAGAGTGGCTTGTTTGTTTACTACTCAAAAACATTCAATCCCATCTTTTCTCAATTCAGTTCAAATTTGCTTTTTGACTAGTCCTCCTCTCCAATGATACCGCTCTGTACTTGAGTATGCAATTACTGGTTCAAACCCCAGCAGCTCTATTTGCCTAAGAGAAAGGAACAGTATTGCATCTGTACAACTTTTTTTTTTTCCACTTTGAGATTTTTGAGACGGCAGTTCTTTAAAGCACAAAACATTTGCACTTCTCAAGTTTCTTACTCTGCCCAGCTTGAAGAGG